TCTTGTTTTTACTGATAACAGAAATCACATAAATCCACATACGTAATTTTGAAATAAAAATTAATTGGCTTTAAACATTCTAAAACAACCAAAAATCTATCTTTTTTAATCATACAATCTCCATTTGAGATAATCATGTATACTATTTTCCAGAAAATGTGAAAAATAGATACCATACTATTTAAAAATTACTAAATCAAATGGAAAAAAAATCCCAATACATAATGCTAGTTTTATTAAGTTCCAACATGCCACTTGATGTTCCTGAAGATAAATCAACATTATTTATAGCAACCAAACTCCACAGAGCTTTCAACAGCTAAAACAATTTCCACATTGGTTAGTCAGCATTATAGAAAGGCTGGAAGCTTGGAAAGGAAATTATTTTTGTTTTCTGCTATTTAAAATAAATACTCCATTTATTTCTCATCGCTACCAAAAATTTGAAATGATTTAACAGTACGAGTACAATGTAAGCCTTAACTTTGGTAAGTTGAGTTTAGACTCCGTAAAAGGAATAAAAAAGTCACTGAAATAATTTTACAACTAAATTGCAAGTTGCACATTCAAAAGAATATTATTCTTTGGAGATCCATTTCACCTTTTGATTTTCTCCATTATGGAATATTTTCAAATTGTACAAAACTTCCTACAAGGATGAGGAGGAAGTCTGCAGCCCTATATGACGTCCTCAGTGTGCAGAGGTCAGTCTCCTGCGGGTCATCACTGCAGGCATGGATAAGGTGTGCCCACGCTCACCTCCATTCCTCCCAGAACACAGAACACACCTGAGACCATGGAAATGGAAGCCCAGCTCAGGGCCCTCGGCCCAGATCTGGTCATATTCGCTTAGCTCCAGCCCGAAGAGGCCAGCCATTTGAGTCTTATTTCACGTACAATGTGGCTCTCCCTATAACACGCTCTAACTCTGGTCACACCCAAGCATTTTCCCAAATGGCTTTTGTCCTACAGCCCGTTCAAACTGCCGGAAAACCATCACACTTGGCCACATGGTACCCATCAATCAACTTGCTCCAAGAATGAAAAACATTTCCTTTATTAAAGAATCATCTTTTGTTTGTTTGTTTTTCCAACAAGTACTTTTTTTCCAAATATTCATGTGTATACCTTTCACTGTTGTCAAAATGCCTTACTGGAAAACCTGAGAACATCTGAGTTCTTGACCAGCTTTTGTTTAAACATGTCTCAGTCCTTTATCAGAACTTGTTTAAAAGCATTAATAGTCAGTGTAGGCTAAATACCAAAGAGTCAAAAATATTAAAACAAAGAAAGACCTAAAAGAAGGAAGACAGGACAAGAACTTTAAATAAATGGAAAAATCAAAAGAATCAATTTTTTCTATACAGAGTCCTTTTTTAACATCAATAGTTGTTCTGTGCATTGCTTTAATTTACTTTTATAAATAAACTAATAACAAATTAAAGTAGGTAATACTTTCCGAAAAGACTTTTATTTTTTTAAATGACCCCTGACCACAAATGCAAGTCTTAAAATGATCACCCTGTTATGTGAGTAAATACGTAGAACCTACCAGGCTCAGAAAGCACATGAGGATGTCTCAGAAAGGAGACACTCTCCCAGAGGAAGGCTGCCCTTTATCTCAGCAGAGCACCAGGAACCACTGAGGCAAAGGGGCAGTTATTTTATCTTCCTTGTGCAAAAACGTACATGCCCCACTTACTTGCTCCCATCTTTTTTTCCTTTGCTCTGATTCCCAAGGAAGGTAAGATATCCATTATTGACAACATGGACTTAGCTGATTCACTGAAAACAAAGCTCTAAACTCTAGCCTCCCCCAGCTGTAGCAAGGTTCTGATGATAGGATTTCATCTCGGCAGAATCGACAAGGACGTTCACATTGATAATGCATACATTGAAAAGGCTCAAGAGAAACCACCAAGTTATTCAGTGTCAGAATGGGCTGAGGCTTTCATTTACCTGATCGAGGCTTCAGGCCAAAAGGAGCTGTGCTGTTTGTGGTAGGAGACACTGCAGGGGAGTTCTCTCTGATCTGTGGTGTTAGAAAGAAAGGAAATTAGAAAAAAAAAAACTGAAGCAAAACTATGTGTGCTTTTCTATGTTCAAGGATTATAATAAAACCACCACCTTTTTGCATTTGCTGCATTAGTCCTGGCTAAAAAAAGATCACTCTGCAAATATTTTAAGTGGCGTAAGCAACAGAATATTGTTTTGGGGTGACCTATTCAATTTTTTTGTTGGCTCATTGTAAAAATATTTTACAATCACATGAAACTGGCAATCCTCTTCCCTAACACAGTTGTGTGCATGGGTGCATGTGAGCACGCGCGCGCGCGCGCACACACACACACACACACCCCCATAACAAAAAGAGGGCACATCTGATGAAAACTCATAACACACTGAGATGAGGAAACAGGTAACACTGAACAGATGTCTCATCTACAGAGAAACCACACGCTGAATCATTTATGGATAACAAGACATTCTAAATGTGGCCTATTTGAGCGATTTTCATTCTGTCATCTTATAAAGATGTTCCCATATTTGGTTTTCAAAAAAATATCTTATAAAAATCTTTCATTATGAATAGGGCCAGGTAAGGCTATGGTAGCTATTGGGAGTGAGATGGATTCCCCAGAGACTCTTTGATAAACTCATTAATCACGACAGTCTGAGATTATCTATTTCTGTTATAGATATTCCAATTCAGTCTTCATGAAATACCTCACCTTCCACGAATCTTCAGGAAACTTACCTCATTTGGAGAATACTGGCTCCCGTTACTCTGTAATGTTAGGTCACTTTGCACCTAAAGAAGGGGGAAAAGCCACTGTTACGTTCCACTAGACTGAAACTGATGAGGCAAGAACTGCATCTTTCTACTTCTATCTCATCCTCGGCCCACAGCACACAGTGACTATATGTTGAATTAATGTGTTAAGTACTAAGTAGGTTAACTTATATTTTCTGGAAACATGCAGCTGTATTCATAGAAAAAATATATCTAAAGTATACAAACTAAGATAAATAATTTTCCAGAGCAAAGAGTTTACTCCAAAGTATTTGTGGACATCAGCTTACCTTTCTCGGTTACCAACTTGCCTGTTGGCTCCCACCCCCATTTTAAGCATGAGTTTTTAGAAATGGTACAAGGCAGTTGTTCCTAAACATGTAGAATCACACTGGGAGCTTTTAATAAATACATACACATGTCTGGACCCCAAATTACCTGGGCAAATCCCATGTTGTCAGTTCAACATCAATTTGCTTTGGCAACTACTGGTTAAGAGAGAATTTTTCTACAGTAAAGCATGCAGAATTTATAACTGGCCACAGAGGACAGTCGTAATGACATACTGGTTTCCAGAAAGAATGACTGGGTCGGGGGTGGCATCACTGAATACCACTGAGAATACAGGAACAGTTCAAGAGGAAGTTGACAGCTTCAGTTCAGCTATGCAGAGCATGAGCTATTTATGGGGCATGGAGATGAAATCTGAATACTGGGAACGGGGGAGGAATTTGGGGCTTGAGCTACAGATTTGAAAGTCATCGTTATTCATGGGGTGCCTGAGTCCATGAGGGTGGCCAGATGGTCCATGGAGACAGCATAGAGGGTGAAGAACAGTTGCTGAAGGCAGGATCCTGAAAAACCAGCATGAAAGGGACACATAGAGACGAGAGGCCCAAAATGGACTCACTCTAGTTCATCTTACCCAGATCTGCCTTCTTTATCTAGAAATTAAGAATCCCACTGATCCAGCCTAATATAAACCTGGGTGATAGCTAATATAAATATTCTCACATATGCTACCGCATTAGTGTAAATTTAAGATGGCTGTTTCCATTCACTGTTGAGTGCTATTAAAAAATATTCCGGACTTGGACACAAATCTAAAAACATATTTTCAGAACAAAATGTCATTAATATCTCTATCCAATTAAGTGGCTTTGTTAGAACTGCTCACAAGTAACTTCAGGTTTGATTCTTTCTAGAAGCAACCGCTTCCTCTAGTTTTTCCTGTCTTCCCCTGACACCTCCCCCGCCCTTCAATATTATTTATATAGGAGCATGCAAGTTGCAATTCTTCCTGGAGGGATGCCAGTGCTACTCACACGTGATGTGGACAGTCACCTGAAGTATGTTTAAAGTCTGATAATATGATGTGCTATCAATCACAAACTGCTTCAGAATCCCGGCCTCCCCTCTCTGCCCGGCTCCCACACTGTGCGATTCTCCCACGGCTCTGCTGCCTTGGCTCAACCGTCTCCTGGCCATAGGTCCAAATCCAAAACTGCCAAAAGGCCTAAGTTAACATCCCTCTCCTTAAACTCTCCATCCATCCCCAGTCTCCCAGAGCACCTAAAACACCCTTGGGATTGCAGACCAGCTCATATTCTTCTCTAAATTTTTTCAAGATCCAAATCTTTCCTCTGCAATTCTTAAAACTGGAAAACTTCATAGCCTTCATATTCTAGTCTTCTATACCAAAAACAAAGCCAGCACAGGCACTCAACAAATACTGGCTAACTGATGCAAGATTATGCTAAGAAAATATAAAAATAATCAAATCATAAATTGAAGATCATCTTTAAGTTCTGCATCATCCGTATCACTGGGCACTTTCTTTTCTTTTCCTTCTCCTCGTGACTTCCTTCCTCCAGCAGAGCCAGCTATTTCCCCAAACCCTTTTTAAAATCATGGAGACGTGTCTGTCAAGGACAGGGCATTGCCCCAGAGAAGGGAGACAAAAAATAAGAATCCCTTACACTGAACAGATTTTTCATTCAAACAAAAATGAAAAAAAAAACCAAAACAACTTATATTATACTAAAATAACACAAAACATTGTAAGTTGGAGATGGAGTAGAGCTATCTTTTTTCCCTGGAGTATGTGTGTCTTCCTGGTATTCCTGAAATCATGGACACAGGTATATGCCTTTTCGAAATTCTGTTAGAGTGAAAGTTCAAGGACATTTTAAAGCAGCAGACTTAAATAAAGGTGCCGAGGTAGGCTGGACCTGGTATAACTTGTGTATACAGAATAGTAATACAATCTGCTGGATGAGAGCAGAAAATTCACTCTGGAGGAACGTGTCTGGTAGCCGGCTGGGAGGCCCAACAGCACTGAGCGCTGGGCCTTGTGCAGAGCTGCAACTTCACACTTACTGGTTTAATGGCAAGTTGGCTGATGGAACAAACAGACTCATCGTTCCGGGCAAGCTGGGGTGGCCTAACTGACCGAATGATTGATACATTGCTTGGAAGTCAAAGTTCCGACTTTAGGAGAACACTGGGCTTTTCCACATAATACAATAATAGCAAGCATGGATCAGCTTCAGGAAAACCCCATGAAGCTTATGAGCACGCAGAAAAGTGTCAGATGAGTTTCAAATTTGACAAGTACAAGAAAGTGCATTTAGAGGAACATAATACACAGTTTACCTAAGTAATGGAGTGTTTTCAGCTCGTAGTTAAAACCCAGAGGTTTGTACATCAAATGAGCAGGACACTGAAATTCTGCTTACCAAAGCCCACTCCTTATTAGCTAATTTCCCCTTTCTTCTTCCCTCCTTCCCACAAACCCTCACTAACTGCTCACTGTGAACTAGGTACACTGTGTCAGGTCCCACTTTGAGTGAAAATGCCTAGTGTTTGTACTATGTGATGGAGAAAGACAAACAACGGGAGAAATAAACAGGAGATCAATAACTAAATACAAATCCACTTTGAAAATCTAGAATTGACAGCAAAGATATACTTTACTGCTGCTGATGGGAAGAGGAAGCTCTACTTTAAAACAGTATTGGACTAATATTAAGGGAATGTAAAATTTTAAACATTCCTTCCTAAACAAGCAAAATGCTTAGTATCAGTAGTAATTCTTAAGAACCATTGGAATTGGCTAGTAAACCACTGCATCAACAAAAAGCACCCATTGCTATTAGATTAAAAGATGAGATGAATACTAGACCTAGACAAATCTACGAGCTGGGCTCAGTCTGTATTTAACATATATCATCCACGTTCCTGGAAACACTGCTCATGCACACGTAAGTATTACAGCTTTTCTTCTTCTGCTAAGACCTTCTCTTAAGAAAGGTTTGAGGCAGTCGGCCCCACTAAGGTTCGTAAACGTGACAAGAGTTAGTGTTACCAGGAGTCTATGGCATAGAGAAGCAACATGTTGCGGTGGAAAAGCAGGGCCTACCTAGCCTTTTACCATGCAAGTGCCTTGGCCAGTCACCTGACCTTCTCAACCTTCACGGTCTACACCTATAAATGGAGCATGATAACTCCTACCTTTCACTTACACCCTATCTAGAATGTAAACTCCTAAGTGTAGGCCCTTTGTTTTTTTACTGCTACTTCCTCAGTGTCTGGACTGGTGCCTGACACATAATAGGCAAAAACCGAGTATTTGTTGAAGAAATGAGATAACGATAACATATCTAAAATATGAATCACATGGTCTGGCATGTAGCAAGGCCTCCTTTTTTAAAAAAAGACTGAGTAATACATAAATTTTAATAGGAGATAAAATTATTGGAATGACCATCCAATTGTATATCAGAGATGGAGTGAGATACCTTTTTTTCTAGAAGTTTTATGTCTTTCTTGTACTCCTGAAATCAAACACATAGGTGGCTACCAATTTTCCTAGAGTCAAAACTGGGTCTGCAGCCAGATACTAAGATGGTCTTCAACTATCTCTCTACAGATGGCTTATTAGTGGCAAGGAAAAAACTAAAACAGTAATTATACAGTGGAGAAATGGGGTTATATTGTGATTGGGTGATCAAATTAACATCACCAATGAGGGACAGAGGGACATAATGCCCCCCAGATGTGATACCCTAAGAACATAACATCGCCTGTGCAGTACCCCAAATAAAAATGAAGGACCTCAACCTAATCATGAGGAAGCATCAGACAAACAAAAAATGAGGAGCGCTCCACTAAAAAACGGGAGGCTTATGTTTTTTAAAATTTTATAGTCATAAAAATCAAAGAAAGGTTATGGAAATGTTCCAGATTAAAGAAGGCTATAGACACCTGACAACTAAGTGCAATACCTGCCACTAGATGGATATTACATGAAAGAAAAAAAGAAGCTCTGAAGAGCATGATTAGATCAACTGATAAATATAGAGTGTGGATGATAGATTAGATGAGAGTATGTTATCTATGCAAATTTATAAAGTTGATAACTGAAATTTAAGATAAAATCGCTCTTCTTAGAAAATACACACTGAAATGTTTAGGGATAATAGACTATGATGTGTGAAATGTCCCCTCAAATATTTCAGAAAAAGAATTATGCGTATGTGGAGAAAGAGAATGAATAATATAGCAAATGCGGTAAAATGTTAATAATCGGTAAATCTGGGTAAAAGACTGTAATTGTTTGCAATGTTTTGTAGAAGTTTAAAATTTTTTTTGCAATCTTTTATATGTTTAAAATTATTTCCAAAAAAGAAGCTAAAAAAAAATGTGTCCGCACAGAACCCAAAATGATCTCAAATGGAGAGCTTGATGAAACAAACGGGTCCAGGGCAGCCTAAAATAAAAGGCTTCCTGATGTGTCACTACTGGGTAATTCAATGATGCCTCCACTCAGGGAAGAGGTGGTACAGTGATTCTGTCCAAAGACCACATCAATAGCAATAATAGCATAGGAGACCAACAGCTAACATTTAGGTGCCCTGTGTTGCGAGACTTTCCTTGAATCATCTCGTTTTGATCTTTACAATAGGTGTTATTATGATGCAAACTTACAGAAAATGAAGGTTACATTTAGAAAGGTTAATGATTAATTTGCCCACAGTTAGCAAGTCTTTGAGATGGGACTGATACCCTAACATAATTCCAAGTCTCGGAGCTTAAAAATGAAACCGCACTCTCTGGGAACACGGGTTTTCCTTTTGCAGTGTTTTTTTCCTAATTTCTTTAACACAGAGACTTAGCTAGCTGGGAGTGTGAACAGTACATGTGCAGACATCTCAGGGGTGCATACATTGGTTTGTATACAATCTCAGTACCTAAATTACCCATCCTAAGCCTATTCACTAAAAAGGAGTGAAAATAGGTTGTAACCTATGTTTCATTCCCAAATTATCGGCTCAACTCTCTATGACTGAGGTAACTTAATCTTTCTCTGGGATCTTCTAAGCCTATCTCTTGTTTTATGTCAAAACTGCTTTCTCTAGAGCACCTAAATATCACCCCATGTAACTCTACACCTTTACCCTGTGTCCCCAAATACCCCCACCAGTGTCTCTTCATGGTATCACTGTAATTCTCCTGGACATTCCCAAATTGTTTGTTCTGGTCTTTCAGGTCTTTTCTAGCTTATTTTCACAAGGCCAGTTCATAAACTTCTTTCTTGGCTCTAAAATCTGCATTGAATGGTCCTCCCTCCAGTTCCTGACACCGAACAGGTTCCTGATGTTATCTCAGTTTCCGTCACCTGACTCAGCAAGACTAGGTGAAGGAAAAAATTTAGAGACACCAACAGAAGTAGCCAACTCTCATCTTTAATGGAAGGTGAGGTATAATAGGCAGAACTAAAGAGGGTAAAAGTACGAAAAAGTTGAAAAATGTGTCTTGAACAAATGTGAATATTGGCCTCACTAATAAAGACGTTTTAGCCCCTGACAAATCTTTACAGAATACATTGGCCAGTATTCCACGGCGGAACACTGCACACAGCTCCGGTTCACCCAAGAGCAGCCTTACCTCACACCCCGCAGAGGTCTCCAGCTGTATCTGACCACTGTAGGAACAAGGAAAGAAAACAAAAGATATGAAGTATAATTTAAAGCATAAATACTTCAATGTAAAAAGAGAAAATACACTTTGTTATAAAAAGTAAACATACTTTAGTGCAGAATCTTGTAATTCTAAGGCTTCTGCTGATCCTGTCGGATACAGGTTTAAAACACTTCTCTCTGTAATATCTGGACTTAATCTAAAGAGTAGGGGAAAAAAAAAAGATGTTAGTAAATTTATAAGACTTTTGCTTTTAATAAATTCTATTGGTCATATTTTGTTTAAAATTTTAATATGTTAAAAAGTTATGTTTAAGTGATGAAAGGTTTGTGATGGAAATTTCAAATTGTATGGTATTTTCCCATCATGTGCCAAAATATAATTTTCCATCTGTTGCTGGTATTGAAATCCAATTTATTGGTACTATAATAGTAATTTGCAATAAAATCAAAATTTTCATAGGTAGCATATACTAAATTTTATTCTAGAACTTTATCAGAAGTTTATAGAAAAATTTAACAAATTTACAGAAGTAAAGTTGCTAAGAGTATAATATTACAGCAAATGGACCATGGCATTTGGTTTTAATAAGAAGCTCTCTCTGATACACTCTAATACTGTTGCTTAAGAAATAAGAATTCATAAGCAATTTGACGTGTATTTTTACTTTTGAAATTGTCTTACATATAGTTTCTGGATTTCCGCAATTTTAAGAGGTGAAGTTTTGTTTTTTTAAAGATGTCTAAAGCCAGGGATTTCTGTAAATTATATAAAAGTTAAAAATCCATCTTAAAGGATAGGGATGAATTCATATAATACACGACTATGAAAATGCTGCCAAACTAACAATGAGAAGGCTTTGAGAGAAGAAATGAAGATGAAAGCAAAACAGAACAGCAATATCCAACTAAACTCTTTAATGTATAAAAAGTAAACTTCTAAAATTTAATCCTATAATCAATGACTTGACTTAAAAAAAACCCTGGATCTATGAAATATGAGATAAAAGAAAAACCCAATGAACTTTCATTACTAATATTCAGTCCAAGCAGCTAGAAATAAGTGACCTCCTGAAGTGGCCTGTGTTTATCAGAAGCAAAAGCTTTTTATTGCTACTACACTGGCTCACAGAAATATTATAAAATTAGATTTGTTATACTATAATGCCATAATTATTTCAAGATAAACAACAATGATCTAAAGGAGCCAAAGTAATGGATTATTTTCGGGAGAAAATTAAATTCATATAGAGTTTTACAAAATGATGTCATTTAAAAATAGCACTCCATAAAGATGCAAATTCATTATCACTTGGAGGATTAGTCGGGGCTGTTTTCTTCCACGATGCGGCACCCACCCACCATCCCGACTTGTTTGACATTCTCAGCAATCATTGCCTTGGAAATTTCAGAGCTGGAGAAGAGTCTAGAGATCCTCAGAGTTCAACCTGCTCCTCAACAGAGGACGAGGAAACTGAGCCTCTTCCCCCAGGTCACTCGTGTCTCACCACTGGTTCCAGTCCCAGACATCCGTGCCACCGCTATTTCCACCAAACTAGGCTGGTCTTTTTTGCTTTGGGGCTCATATACTAATCAATCTAGATTTTGTAATTAAAGTTTATTGGAAAAGTAATACAAAATTTAAAAGATAGAAGTATTAAAATAACATCAAGTTTGAGTCCAACTGGGGCCTTTACCCTATCACATCAGGTCTTTAAGGCTGTGTCCTGGCCTGACGTTCCCTTCCCATCGACCTGCTTGCCCCTGGGCACCTCATCCTCTCATACACCTTCTCTTACTGTGGCACCTTACAAAAATGACTTTCAAATCTGAGTCTCTAAGCCCCGGAACTAAACATCTAGCAGCTCAATGGTCATCGCTACATTGGTACCTCGACTTCTATTCAGCATGTCCTGAACTGAACCCAACATCTTCCTCCTCAAACTTGCTACCCCTCCAGGTTCTCAATCCCAGATAGTGAGGTACCAGGGACTCAGGCCTAAAACACCCTGGACTGTTCTCTCTGGTCCTCCTCACCACCCACTTTCAAACAATCACCAAAGAACAACAACAGTATCTACCACTGAGTGTCTATAATACAATAATTTAGAAATACCCACAAAAAATTCATCTTAATATATTTCCTTCCAGTTTTAATTTTTTCTAAGATTCTTACACAATTGGGCCCTAATTCTATCTATATAATTGGGATCAAACTTTGCACATTTTTATATACTTTTTAGAAGTTAACATCATATACTAGGCGTTCTGTAATATCACTGGAAACTTTAAAAAACATTTTATTGTCCATATCACATTCCATCTTATCAATGACCATAATATATTTAAAGTACCCCTAAATTCTTAGGTACTTTCTTTTGTCCCTCCAAATATTTGCTGTTAAAAAATACCTATCCCTCACCCTCCCACTTACAAATCTTTGTTCATGTCTTTTTGTCTCTTAGGATAAATTCTTAGCATTCATTTTAAAGGCTTATTTTTTTTTAGACTTTTAAGATGACTTTTGAAATGGTTCTGCCAATTTACCTCCCCACTAACAGTTCATGTATTCCTTGCAACCTTAAAAGGTAGGCACTCATAACCCCATCTTTACAGATGAGGAAACAGGGTGCAGAAAAGTCATATAACCTACCCAAGTATACTGATGCTGGAGATGGGTTTGGAACCAATCTCTAGCTGATTCAGTCAGTTCTTTCCCCTAGCCTTGCTACTTCCTGATTTATGATAATTGCACATACACACCTACATGTGTGTGCATGCCTGTATGCACAAACGGACATGCACGCATGACCATGTACACACACGCACACACACACACAGGCTCTCTCTTGTCCTGTTTCCCTCTCACTAACCATCCTGGTTTAGGATGTGGAATTCAGCTCTTTGAACACACCTTAATTAGGTG